TCATTGCCTTGCCAAATAACCAATCAATGTGTTCCTTAAAACAATATGTACTAAATTTTCCTTAAAAAATATCATCTTAGCCTCAGTGCATTACCTTTTTTTTTATAGAAAAAGAAAGAGGAAGATCATGAGAAAACAATAACAGTAAAGAAACCCTGACCATAGTCTTAATTTCCAACGCATTTCAATAAAAGGAACACGGTGAGGCTAGGATTCCCTTTTTACCATACGATCATAAGTAAAGAACATGAGAAGTCATGGCTGCAATAAAAGGCATTCTGTGCAGAACAATTATCTAAAAGGACCAAAACAAGAAAAACCAGAGAACAGAGGCACTAGATGCACCATTAACCCTTTTTGCATATAACACCTCATTGCCTTGCCAAATAACCAATTAATTTGTTCCACAAAATAATACATACAAAATTTTCCATCCAAAATTATCATCCTAGCCTCGTTGCATTGCCTTTTATTTTATAGGAAAATAAAGAGAAAGACAATTACAAAATAATGACATCACATAAACCCTAACTGTATAATTAGGGTTGAAAGTATTGCAAAAAGAGAGAAGTTTTCGGTGTTTCTCCTGCTTTCTGTTTGTGTGCGAAGGACCCGTAATCATACAAATTGAATTGCTGCTAATATTAAAACAAATCCACGAAATCAAAATTTCAAAACCCTAACCCATAACAGAAAGATAAAAAAAAAAGAGTTGCAAGGAGATGAATGAATACCGTTTGGCAGGCGTTAAGAGAGAGAGGTGGAAGGCTTTGTTTTTTCGCTGGCGTGCTTCGACTAGAGCCCGTTCGTATTCTAGGATCGGAATTTCCCATGACGGGTCTGAAACCCTGACCCTAGAAGAAACTACCATAAAAGAGTCCGAAGAAAAAGGGAGAAAAGAAAGAAGAAGAAGAAGAGGGAGGAGATTTTCGTGATCTGCCAGGTAATATTTGGTGTATTTATAACAGTCAGGTCATATTTGGTGTTTTTTCACGTGATGTAAACGCGGACAAGGATTTTACGCTAGCTTAAAATCGGGCCTTACGTATATCAATTCATTATAGGGCTGGATTTTCTAGGCCTTAAAGTCTCCCTGTAGAAGATGATCCGATCCACTCAGCTGCATACGTCCAAGCGAAAACAACCTGGGTCTAAGTCTCTATTATTTGTATGGAAATGAAATTGCTTTCATTCAAATACATGGAAAAAATTGAATACTAGACTAGACATGCATCAATAGCTAATGACCCTGGTCTAGGTTAGTGTTGATGTCTTTCCTTTTCCGACGGTTTTCCTGGCATATATTTAGTAATGTAGTTGCAATTATTTTTCTAAATGGATATTTCATTTGTAAAAAAAATAATTTTTTAAATAATTTACAATGTATTTTACGTTCCCACGTCAAGAATTTTTAAAATCATTTGGAAAAACATGAAATTAATAGTTTTTAAAATAAAAATTAATTTTATTTGCCTATAAACTAATTAATAAAGCACGGAATTCAATTCTCATGCAACAATGAAAATGAGTAAATGAATTCAATTCGATTAACAAAATAATGTTTTGTTTATTTATAAAAAAATTGTCAGTAAAATAATATTTTTTTTATTATTTCAGTTTTTTTTTTATTTTTTAGTTTTAATTTAATATTTTTTATTAAAATAATTTTTTTAAAAATATTTTAATATATCTTTAAATAAAAATATTTTTAAAAATAATCATAATTACACGTACATACTTAAATTCATGTCGGTTATATTAAGTTTTCAAGCCAATCATCATTATGGACACCTCGACATGGAGAAGGATGATGATCATACCTGCAGTGGTTAAAAAGACTAATGATGCGTGTCATGATGTGCCATAAAAGAAGATGCACAGACCCATGATCCAAGCTTAAACTTTTACTTTTCAATGCAGTTTTTCCAATCCCCAAGAGGGTAACTGAAACAGTAAAATAATGGTGGAAGTTGTTTTTTAAGTTATTTTTTATTTAAAAATATATTAGAATAATATATATATATATATATATGTATATGTATATATATATTATTTTTAAAAATTAATTCTAGGTATTAATATAGCAGAATTATACAGAAGTAAATAATAATAATAATTTGAAATAAAAAAAACTCCGGGTCAATTAGATGACCAAACAACCTTTAAAAATCAGTCTTCAACATCATCAATTTTTTTCAATACTCGAATTCAAATCAAACAACCAACGAAGTCGTGCTATCTACCCTATTTCACACGTTGACTTCAACAACAAAGGTTTTTCTTTCCTACGTGGCTGCTATTTTTGGTTCACCAATAATTTTTTAAAATATTGATATTTTAATTTATATATACAGTCTATTTATTTCTGAATTTTAAAAATATTTAAAAAAATTAAATTTTTTTATTTATGTTAAATTAATATATTTCTAGTATTTTTAAATTATTTTGATATACTAATATTAGAAATAATTTTTAAAAATTAAAAAAATTATTAACATTTATTTTGATAAAAAAACTTATTTAAAAATTAACCACAACCATATTTCTAAATTAATAACTTATATATTAAACTCAATTAACTAATTAACTACCACAACTATATTTCCAAACTAATAACTTGTATATTAAACTCAATTAACTAATTAACTAAGTGGTTTCAGTTTTAAATAAGCTTCTTATTTTTAAAATTAATTAGAATTTATTAAATTAAACAAAACCAGGTTAGGTTAAAACTATCAATCTCAAATTCAAATTATAAATCAAATTACACCCTTAACCAAGTCTAAAAATTATAAACCTAACACCAACATAAATTTGAAAACACGTGATGATAATTATAAAAAACACAAACCATACTCTTTACATAAATCCAACAACAAGGATTTTCCCTCTACGTGGTTGCTATTTTTGGTTCGCTTACAAAATAACTTAAAAAAATATATTGATATTGTAATTTAGATATTCAAAGAGAAACTTTGATATTTATTAAAGGGTCCACACTTTAACTACCTTGTCCAAGGGTCCACTGGATCCCAAATTCCACAACCCCCCCGCTCCTCTTCCGCTCTATCCGCGGCAGACAAATATTTTAAATTTCTTTATTTTATGACCAAATTACCCCTCCGTATCTCCCTCAATTTCTGTCTTGCTCCCCTCACTTAACCTCTCTTTCCCCTGGTAGCCCCTCTCTTTTTCTCACAAGTTCCCCTCAGAGTCAAAATCAATATCACTTCACTTTCTCACTGGCCCCAAACTGCAACGCCTTTCTCCTCTACTATCTCCATTCTGATTATTGACACTAAAAAAAAACAACCCTCCCGGTCACTGTCAGTTCTCTCAGTGCCTCAAAGCCGGCCTTTGACGCCGTCACACACAGGCGGCCCTGTAAGATTCGGTTATATAAAACCTCCCTTAATTTTCGGTTTCGTGATTGGACTTTTTCATAAATACTTTTGAATTTTGAAATCTGTCTGAGGAAACTGATTTATTATTCACTAATCACTGTAGTTTCTATCTTAATGGCAAGTTAATTAATTCGTAGATGACAATTTCAAAAAATAGATTTCAATCATTTAATTTGCTTTTGGTTTCTTTTTAATGGACCGAAGTGTCATTAGATGCTTTTGACCGTTAGCAAAGCGAGAGGAAAATTGAGAACAGTGAACTTTTTTGTAAGTGAAGCTTTCTTTTTCTTTCTTCGCTTTTTAATTTCCTTTCTTTGTTTCTTGATTCTGTTTGGTTTCTTGGAAAACAAAGGAATGGGAAAGGATAGAGCAAGAAAATTGTTCAGGTGCATGTGTTTATTTTTTCGTTAAATTTTCAAGTACCGGCAACTGTGTGATTTTTCAATTTTAATTTGTCCCTTTCTTTCCTTTTTTCATTAGCTTCTCAGCAGCCAATAAGTGTTTTTTCCTTTTTCTTTAAATAAGTGATTTAACCATTTTTCTTTTCTTTTTCTCTGTTTATCAGTCTCTAAACAGTGTCATCTCCTTATCTGTTCTTTTCTTCTGCACTTTACTTTCTCTAGAATTGTCATTGAATCTTCTTTTTCGCTAAGCACGATGTTGTTTGATTATTAAAGGCTTGTATAATATTAGATTCTTCGTGTCAGATTTGTGTAATTTTTTAAAGGGTGGTGGTTAGAGTGGAGACGAGATTTTTTTTAGGGTTTTTGAGAATTGAAAATGATGAGGGTAGTCTGGTATTTTTAAGGCATAGCTCAGTGCTAAGGATTTGATCACAAGCCCTGACACATGCATTTGATAATCGTTTTTTTTCTGTTCTCTGTTTTTTTTTTTATTAATTAATGCAAATTTATATTGCTGAATTTGATGTCTGCTGTCGTGTTTATTGTTTCTTCTACATTAAATAACTGACATGTTTTTTTCTCTAAGTATTCATTTATTTTCTGCTTGTGCGTGTGGGTGTCGATATTGTGTTGCTATGTGAAATCCGTTGGCCCTTGATGAATAATTATCCGAGAAAGTTATTTATTCATGAATGCTCTAGGTTCTCTGTTTTTTATTTTTTTATTTTGTTCGTGTTTGCCCGTTTGATTTTGAATGAAGGGCAAAGAAGTACTCTAAACTTATTGTTTTAATTCAAGTATTTATTATAGCAATTGAATCTGACCATCTTCTGGATCTGGGGTTTGAAATTAGTTTCAGTTATGTATTTTTGGTACAGGACTGTCATGTTTTTTTTGGCTATATGTATCTCAGGCTTCTCAAATTGTTAATTGGGTTTTTGTACCTGTTAACGTGATGGTTTGGAGTACCAAACCTGTTTATTTATGCTTTGAGGGTTTTCCGGTACGAATCATAATTATACCACCTTGTTGTGTGCTTTCTTTCCACTTTTTAAGATATCTTAATCTTGATGGGTTGGCTTGTGTGTGTGGGTGGGGGACTGGAATCCTAGCTTAGTGAATGTGCCATGAGGTGTGCGTACTGTGTAGTTTGTGGACTAATGACCATTGTCCTTTTATTTGCTTTATATTCGTTCACGCTCTTCAGTAATCTCAATGATCATTATGTGTGTATCGAGTAATATCAATGATCATTATTTGTGTATGAGTTGCTGCATTCCTCTTAAGATATTTCTTTGTAAGATTTTAATCCAGGTTTCCCCTTCTAATTTCTTACATAATGTAATTTCAGGTTCAGTGAGATCCCTTCTGTCTGAAGATTGATAAAGCACAGGATTGTGAGCTACCATTTTTCATGAGCTACAAATAGCAGTTCTAGTTTGAGATAGACAGATGAAGAAACTATTCTTTTTCAGATCTTCTTCCTCCAATGATGGAAACAACAATACCAGTTCTCCACTGTCAGCAGATAAGCAAGTTTATTGGGAGGCACCATTGGAAGGTAAACCAAACAATCAAGATAATGATAATGCTCAGTGTAATTTTTGGAGCCCCAGGGGACTACTTTCAAAATCTGGAAAGCAAACATATGATAGCCAGATCCCAAGCAACAGTTCGGGTCTTAGAAGGAGCCGCTCGTTGTCATCAGCTGCCTTTCTTGATGATGGGACGGGCCAGATGAATTTTTCTTGTACAAATGATGAAACTATATCTTCTTCTAGCAGTTCCAGTGGTGCTCATCAGCAACATGATCACTCATCTCGGTGAGACTTTTGATCTCATTAACATCAAGTTATAAGGATTCATTGACACCATTTAATGATGTTAAATACAAGCTTGTTTGCATAGCTCTTCTGTGCAATTTTTATTTGAATTGCTTCTTGAGATTAATTCAAACTTTTTCTGATTTATGACAGTAGGCGCAATCTTACTCCTGAGAGGCGAGCCAAGACAAAGCGATTTGAAGTGGCAGCTACTGGACTAGAGAGATCTGGTCATTCCAAATCTCATTATGATTCGTCAGGAAATTCTTCTTCTAGTAATGTCTCAAGTAAAAT